TGGTGCGCAGGAGGTACCACAGTGTCCGCAGGGAGGATCTGCGCAAGGTGCAGCTCTCGCGGCAGGAGGCCATCGCCCAGGTCAAGAGCTTGTGAGTGCCGGGGCCTCCCAGCGCTGGGGCTGTGGGGGCCTCTGTAGCCACAAAGGCTTCTTGAAGGCTGTAGGGGCTCCTGCTGTAACCCACGTGAATGTGGGGAACGAGGGTGTGCGTTTGTGGGGTTTTTTGTGACTGTCTCGTTTGCAGCCTGATCCAGCTGGAGGGGTTTCTGAACGGGATGTGCTGCAGCTGTGAGGCAGTGTACCGTGTGCTTTACTGGGAGAACCCCACTGTCTCTTCCCAGTGAGTAGTACTGGCTCAGGCACCCTGGGGTGGGCTTGGTGGGGACAGGGGCTCAGCCAGGCCTGTGGTGCTGTATTTGATTTGTTTGGTACTTGGAGAGAACAGATGGAACACCAGATGAAGGAAGGAGTTTTATGCTGTTGTGTGAGTTGCTCTGACTTGACCACAGTATCCTGCTGTTTTCCACAGGTTTTATGGGGTGCTGCTGGGCACTATCTGTGTCCTCTACCTGCTTCCCCTCTGCTGGGTCCTGGCCATCCTCAATAGCACCCTATTTCTGGGCAACACCCAGTTCTATCAAGGTATGAGACCTGGCTGGAAGTGCCCTGTGTGAGATGGGTTGGGGAGGGGCCCTCTGAAGCCAGGGATCCTTCCCTGGACCTCTCCCTCACATGAGCCCACTGTCCCGTGTCAGGCTCTCCTGTAGACCCTGAAACCCTGTGAAGGCAATGATGCCCTAGGGGTGGTGCTCAGCAGCCCAGGGTGGGTGGTACGCTCCTGGGGCTCAGCTGTTGGAGGTGAGAGTCTCTCCTGATGTGTGTTCCAGCCCAGGTGCTGTTTCATTTTCTTCTCTGTGGTGTGGCAAACCAGGGTCTGTCAATGCAGGTTGTGTGTGAGCCTCTCCATCTCTCTTGATCCCTGACCCTGCTCTTCAGGACTTCATACACATTCAGTGCCTGTGGCAGTGTATGACACAGGCTTGAAAACATGCCATTGGAAGGGAGAGGAGCCCTCTTCTGTGGCTCGTGCTGGAGGAGTGTTGGATGTGTCTGAGCTGTGATGTTAGCTCCTGCCATTCCCTGTACTGAGCTGGGGCAGGTGGTGGTGGGGGGATCTTCCTTTCTGTCCTAGCTTTGATATGTGAACAGAGGAGTGTGTCAATGCCCCACCTTGAACTTGGAGATCAGGCTTTTGTGTGATGTGGCTGGGAGCAGGGAAATGCCACCCTACTCCAGCTGTACTCCCCTTTTTACCAGTGATAAGGGAGCTCAAGGCCTCCATTGAGCAGTGTGTGGGCTCCAAACCCCTCGAGAGCACTCCAGAACCTGCTGAACCCCTGCCACCAGCTGCTGCCCCAGATCGGACCCCCACCCCCACCAGTGCTGAGGTGAGAGAGGGGCAGGGCTGGCAGTTGTGGGGTGGGAGCTGCAGAGTCAGCCCTTGGGTCTGACCATGCCTGTGCCCCTCCACACACAAACTTCTCCCAGCTGCCAGCTTTGCTGGAAGCCTGTGAGCCACTCCTGAGTTACTGGGATGCTGCTCTCTGCCTTGAGGGCTTGTCTCAGTCCTTTTGCCACATGTAAGGATGTGGTCTGAGGAGGCAGGGGCTAACCTCACCTTCTGACACTTGTGTCATCTGTGAGGCTGCCTGGGGCCAGATCCATTGTCCTGGAACCTGCCCAGAAATGTGGGGCCACCTTTGAACAGGGGCAGGGGAACAGCAGGACTAACTTTATGAATCTCTTGTAGGACCTTACCCCTGGCAGTGTGGAGGAAGCAGAGGAAGCAGAACCTGATGAAGAGTTCAAAGATGCAATTGAGGTTTGAGGCTGGTTGGGGTGGGGCAGCTGAGGTGGGAAAGGGACAAAGACCTTGCTGAGCAAATTGGGTGCTCAGAGAGAGTGACTGTGGGGCTGGGTGCCTCTGACTCTGTGTGTGCTCACTCTCCTCTCTGTCCTATGCTGCGGGGAAAGGAGAACCAGCTGCTGGTCATGGTGAGTACTGCCATGCCAGGGTGTGGGATCTCCTCCCAGCTGGAGCTTTGCCTGGTCTGCTGGTGGCTTGTAGAAATGCCAGGTGCAACACCCAGTTTGTTGGGTGCCTGCCTCTGGCATGGGCTGCTCTGCAGCCCTCAGAGTGCCCCCAGCCACCCTGCTGTGCTCAGCTGGCTCTGCTCTCTGCAGGAGGATGATGAGAGCTCTCAGTGCTCAGCAGAGTTTGACCTCAGCCTCCCAGACAATGGTTTTATGAGCAAGAATGAGGTGATCCGCAGCAAGGTGTCCCGCCTGACCGAGCGCCTGCGCAAGCGCTACCCCAGCAACAACTTCGGTGAGTGTGGGAGCAGGTGCTGCTGGGGAGCTCAGCAGCCTGGTCTCTGTGCTGCTTCCAGTGGTGACCCGAGGACTGGGAGAGGGTGTGTGGTGTGTGCTAGGGTGTGCTGACACCTCCAGTGACCTTTTCCACTCCTTGGGGAGAATGGTCCCAGCACTCCTGGGAAGGGCAAACATGGAAAGTGCAGCAATGTCACCTCTGAGCTGAGCCTTTACAACAGCTACAGATGCTCTTGTGCCACTTGCAGCCCCAGGCAGCAGAGTCCTGCCTGACCTCTGCTCTCTTTCCTTCAGGGAACTGCACGGGCTGTGCTGCCACCTTCTCTGTGCTCAAGAAGAGGGTGAGTCTTCAGCTTCTGCCCCAGCTTGCTGGCTGCACCTGGGGCAGAGGTGTTGCTCATGTCTGGCTTGCCCCAGCTTTCCCCAGCAGTTCAGGTGTCTGGCCTCGGTCACAGCCCAAATGACCTCAGCTAAATGCTGGGTGTTGTCACAAGCCTAATGGCACCAGGGATCCCTTGTGTTGTACAGCATTTGTCCATTTACTCCTTTGGAAGCTGCCTCAGGCCAAACTCATGTGTTATTGTAGAAGATACCTGCTCTGTACCCTGGTTTAGTCCATTTCCTGTGGCCTTTGTGGTGAAGTAGAGCATGGGTCTGCTAGTGAGAATGACCTGTTGCCTTATCTGAGCCCTGTGTGCAATGCTTGGCACACAGTCTGTGGGCAGTTCTCAGAAGGAGGTATAGACTTTTGACCCCTTTCACTTATTCCTGGGTTAGTCTGGTACCACATCTGGGTCTCACCTCCATCTTTCTCCACAGCGGAGCTGCAGTAACTGTGGGAACAGCTTCTGCTCCAGGTGTTGTTCCTTCAAAGTCCCCAAGGCTGTGATGGGAGCCACGGGTGAGTTGAAAGGTGGAGGGAAGAGCTGCTGCTTCCCCCTGTTCTGTGTGCCCAGGCATTTGCCCCAGCCCTGGTGGGGAGGGTGGACAGGACATGCCCAGCACAGCCTGGCTCAGGATAGAGCAGTGATGAAAAAACTGCAGCTCTCGAAGCAGTTCTGTGGCTGGGGTCCCTAGCCTGTGGTGGGAAAGGGGGATCATCTGTAACATTTGCTTTCCTTTCCAGCCCCGGAGGCTCAGAAGGAGACAGTGTTTGTGTGCGCGCTCTGCAACCAGGTGCTCATCAAGTGATGAACCAGGCCCAGCCAGCTCCTGTGTCCTGCACTGCCTGACACCTGGGACAGCGGGCAGGCACCCCTGCCACTGGGAGCCTGGAGTGTTGGGACCCCAGCATGGCATTCCCTGCCAGAGGACGCTTGCCCTTGTGCTCCTCCTGCCAGCGCCGGGCTGGACGGACCAGCCTTCCTTGCCGTGCACCAGCTGGGTCGCTGTGGAGGAGCACTGCCCACGGCTGTGCCCCATCCCTGCAGCTGCTCCAAGCCCTGGGTGCTCTCTGGCACTTGCTGTGCCCTGCCACGTGCTTGCCCAGGCCCTTTGGCCTGGGTCAGTGATGGAAGAGCCATCCTTCCTACTCGTGGTCCTGCCTTCGCCTCCCGGGTGGGGCAGAACAACCTCAGGGCTCTGTCCCTTCCTTTCCCAGCACTGTGCTATAAGTGACTGTATTTTTGGGATCAATTCAGAGCTCCTCCTGCATCCCTTGGGGTCTGGACTAGCTAGGTCTTTCATCCTGGCTCAGCTGAGACTCTGCTAGTCACTCCTGTGCTCCTCAGCCTCACTGCCTGCAGGTTTAGTCTTTTACCCCCGAATTTGGCTGTAACGCGGAGGAGGAAAGAGAATGAGTTTGGACTGGGCTGTGTGGCTGGGTCTCCAGTGTGACAAAAGGCAGGAGTTAGTGCTGCTCTGTGCACTTAGTGACTGCTGCTTTCTACTACAGATTAATATATAAATGCATATAGAGAATGATCAATAAATCTCTTGTCCTCAGCTGCCTCTTGTGTCATACCAGTAAAAGCTGTCCCAGGTCACTCTGACACCTCTGTGGCTTTGGCCCTGCTGTCCTGCAGGTGCTCCTGGAGCAGTGGTGTTCTGTGCCACCGGCTCTCCACACTTTACTGGAATTCCCATCTTGTGCCCTGCTGTAGCCTTGTTTGCCCCCTGCTCAGAGCTGTGTGCAGCTGCCTGTCAGCTGTGCCAGGGCTGGATCCTGCTGGGCTGGAGCCAGGGAGCACCTCAGCTCTGACAGGAGCTACTGAGCTTCCTCTGCCTCCCGTGGCTGCTCCTTCCCCTGCCCTCCCCGGGTGGTGCTCCCACCAGCTGCCTGTGTGCACAAGGATGACCTTTCCTTGTGTGAACAGCAAAGCTCCCAGCTATCCCAGGAATGTGACCCTGGCTGCTGTGCAGCTGGGAGCAGCCATGGCCTGGGTCCCTGCCAGCCAGCTGCAGCTTCTCCCGAGCCAGGGAATCTGGGGGGCCAGTGCCCACCAGGCTGTGACACCCACTCGTCTGAGAAGTTGCTGGAACCCAGACCCTGCTGCAAGCTCCACATCCCACCAGTGTGGGAGCTCCTGTGTGGCAGAGCCTCAACACTTAGCTTGGCTGGGGGCTCATAGGCTTCACATGGACATTTGGAGAAAAGCTGGACTTGGCATTTGATGATCAGGGTGTCTGGCTTGTGCTGGGTGTGCAGGGGAGTGCTGTGCAGAGGGCTGAGCAGTGGGGGCAGTGAGTGGAGCAGCTGTAGCATTGGGGAGGGGGCTGTGTGGCACCACAAGAGCTGTGGGTGTGTTTGTGAGGGTGTCTGCAATGGGATATTACAGGCCTGGGAGGGACTGTGAGGGGTCAGCTTGCTCAGACAGCTGACAGTGGGAGGTGGAGGAGCCGCTCATATTTCTAGAGAAAACACTTGGAACAGTGAGCACTATGTCCATGTATGTCTGAACACTCTCTGGGAAGATGCTAATGACACAGAATACAGAGGGCTACAGATAAACTTAGGCTGTGGGAGATGGGGTTTTATTTATGCTTTTAAAGTTTTGCAATAAAATGTAATTGACAGTGTTTATTCCTATGGAAGTGTGCTCTGCAGTCAAGCTCTGAACAAACCTAATAATATTAGAATTTTTTCCCCATTTTTTCCCCAGTGGCCAGGGAGAAATGCCCATTTCTGGTGCAAGGCTGGGGCAGGGGCTGGCTGGCCCATATTTCTGGCTGGCTGTGGGGCCAGAGTGGGAGATCTGGGGCTCTGGAGGCTGACCAGTGGGGCCAAGGCCATGCCCAAGAGGGCAGAGGGAGAAGAGGTCAGCCCAGAGCAGGGCAGGTGCACAGTGCTCTTATGAGCCAGAAGAGGGTGGGTGCAGGGATCCTGCAGCCTCAATTTCCCTGTCCCAGGAGCTCCCTGAGGCTGGTCAGCTCTGAAGAGAAGGCAGTGTCAGGCAGGCAGGCACTGGGGAAATGTCCTGGCAGCACCTTGGGCCCCTCACCCCTTGGGAAAGGTGGATACCAGTTGGAACAGCAGGAATGACGGGGTGCCTCAAGCTGTCCCTTGCCAGCTGGGACTGGGGGGCAGCTTGGCAGTCCAGCTGAGCTAAGGGACAGCCCTGCTGCCATCAGGGCTGGGCTGAGGGCTGCCCTGCTCATGGGGCTTTTGGGAGGGTCCTGGCCAGCGCAGGTGGGTGGCCCTAGGAATCATTTTGGAGGAGGATGGAGGCTGTGGCATGGGAGGTCTGGCAGCCAAGCAGGGCTGGCAGGGAGCTGCAGAGAGGACTTTCAGATGGTATGGTATGGGGAGGGCAGGGCTGGAGACTGCCTGGTCCAGTATCTGCCCCCTTTGATGCTCAGTGCCAGGCTTCTCACAGGTGCTGTGAGCTCCCAGACCATGGATTTATCCCCTGGGGTGACAAAGGAAGAAAAAGAAGAAACTTCCCTGCCAAACCACTGCCAAACACAGCTGTGAGGCTCCAGCAGCAGCGATGGCCCTGTCCCCCCCATGCTGCTCATCTCGATGCCCTCCCAGGCTCCCTGGAGTGGCAGGGGTGCCTGAGGCTCCAGGGATGCCTGTGACCACCAGGAACCACATCCCCTGGCTTGGCTGGACTGCCCAGGCTCAGGCTCTGGGCACAGCACCTGAGAGGGGCCAGAGCCAGATCCTGAGGTGACCTCGCTCCCTCAGGCTGCCTCACTCAGTGGGCAGGACTGGGACCCCCTCCCAATCCTCTGGGGTCCCTGAGGGAGCCCCAAGGGTTTCTTACCCATGAGCTGCAGTGAGTGGCACACAGACTGCTCCGAGCCGGAATAATTTACTGTGGTGTTGGTGGGCAAGGGGCGCGTGGCTGAGTCACAGCAGGGTGTGTGCAAGGGGTGCAGCAGAGCTGCCCTGGAGCATTGGAGGTGTGAACTGTGTGCTATGGGGAGTGGGCGACCCCAGGAGGGATTTGTGCAGCTCTGGGCCCTCAGTCTGCAGGGAGTCAATCTGTGGGAATAGAGGGACCTGCCTGGGCTGGGCTGGATCTCTGGAAGGTGATATAATCCAGGGGTGGATGTGAGCTCCAGGTGAGGGCATGGGATGTGTTGGTGGGCTGGAACAGGGACTGGGGGACTGAGGGTCTGTGGCATATCATGAGGGAGCTGGGCAAAGGACATGGCTGCAGGGGAGGGGTCCTAGGTGTAGCCAAGAAGGCCAAGCAGGGATCCTAAATGAAAGCAAGGGTCTCTGGGTTTCTGGGTGGGGAACCTGGGAGTAGACAAGGGTGTCCAGTACAGACCAGGGCTCACAAGCATGCAGAACAAGGGTCCCAGGTCCAGACTAAGCTCCTGGACAGGGGTGAGGGTCCCGGGAGCAGAACAGGGATCCCAGGGGAGCAGAGTAGCGCTCTTGGGGGGAGGCAGGTGTCCTGGCTGTGGATCAGGGCTCCCACAAATGCAGCAGGGAATCCTGCAGGTGCACAGCTGGGTTCTGGGGCACAGTCAAGGGGCTGAGGTGAGCAGAGCTGAGCTCCTAGGGTGCAGCCAGAGAAGCCAGGGGTGGGATGTTGGGCCAGTGCAGGAATTCTGGGAAAGGGCAGGGTGGGCAAAAACCCTAATGCTGCCCAGCCCCATAGAGCAGGGGGTGGTAGAGTGGGCAGGGGTAAGAGAACATGAACTTGACTGCAAACTTCATCTCCTTGTTGTGCTTCTGCCAGGGGTAGATGGCCAGCAGGAGCAGGCGGCCCCCCACCTTGCGGCCCATGACCAGGAAGCTGCCGCTGAGGCTGTCGAGCTGGGGGCAGGGGCAGGCACCCGCGTTCCTCATGTGCAGCACCATCTTCTTGGTGTCCTTGCGCTTCAGCGGGCCCAGTTTCAGCACCTTCTTCTTCTGGGCAGCCACCAGCCGCCGCTCCCCGTTCTCCTCCGTCACCTCCTTGATGCGCATTTTCACCACTGTGTGGGGCAGCGGGCGCGGTTGGGGAGGGAGGGAGGGAGCACTGCTGGGTGCTGGGGAGGGGAGGGCCTGGGCCAGCACCCGGGCAGGACAGGGTGCAGCCCACCCCTGGGTCGGGTGCCTGGGGAAGTTACTGGGTGGGGAGGGGAAAGGGGTTGTTGGGGAGGGTCCAGCGGAGGCCCCCAGTGACCCTCCCAAATGTCTTCTCCCCTATTCCCCACCAATGTCTTCTCCTGTGGTGCACCCATCCCAGGCATGAAGGGTCCAAGGGAACGGCTCAGGAATCTCCCAGGGGCTATCCCCATACAACCCCACCTCTGGCCAACTCCCACCCCAGCTGCCAGACCTAGGGGAGGCTGAGAAGGAGACCCCAGCACTCACCAAAGTCACTGGAGCACATCTGCTCCATCATGCCATCCGCCTTGTGCTCCATCTCACACTGGGTGCAGATCTTGGACACTGTGGTGAGAGACCAGTTAGTGTCACAGCTTCATGCTGCTGGTACTTGTCACCAGGGCCAGCTCCTCGGGGACACGCTTGGGAGAGCCCCAGCAGCTCCTCTGCTCCCTAGGTAGCTGTGCTGGGGTGATGCAGAGAGGCACAGAGCACCTTGCAGACCAGGGTCACCCCCCAGGAGGGGAGGAGAGATGGGGACAGTCTCCCATCAGATGCTGGCACTTTGGAGCACAGCAGCAGTGAGGGTGGTCCCAGCCTAAAGGCTGTCCCAGCCCTGACCCTGAGCCTAGGCTGCCTTTGGGGGATGTCCCCTCTCCTGGCTGAGGGGACAGCCACCTTGCAGTGCCAGTGTGGGGCTGACACCGCAGGTGCAGCACGCTCTCTCCTGCTGGCATGGGACCCAGCGGCAGCAGAGGGACCCAGCACTGCGGTGGATCGGCCAGCGGCTCCCACCTCATACCGTGTTCTTCCTCATCCCGGGACAGCTGGGAGCACAGTGCCCCTGGGCAATAGTGCCCAGACAAAGCTGATCCTGTGCCCCCTCCTGCCCTGTTACGCACAGAGTCCTTGGCCAGCACCGGTGTTCTGGGCTGTGCTCTGAGGGGTGAAGGGACTCCTGTGCAGGGGCTCCACAAGCATTCCCATCCCATCACAGTACCCTTCCCGCTTACCTGGGGGCGGCGTGGCTTTGCTGTTCCCAAACTGGACGGCGATGCAGAGCTCGTGGTCAGAGGGGAACTTGCCACAGTGCAGCATCTCAGGCCAGGGGAAGCCGTAGGACTCCATGACGGGGGCACAGGAGTCCCGCACCACCTCGCAGAGAGAGCGGCACGGGTACACGGGCCGGTCGAGGCACACGGGGGCGAAGAGGGAGCAGAGGAAGAGCTGGGTGTCGGTGTGGCACTGCTTGGCGAGCAGGGGCACCCAGCTGCCGGCCTGCTGCTTGGCCTCGGCCATGGTTTCGTGCTCCAGCAGGTTGGGCAGCCGCATGCGCTTGTAGCCCACGTCGCGGCAGAGCTGCATGTCGGCCGGGATGTCGAGGCACTGCGGCTCCCGCCCGTAGAAGCGCCCGTGGGGCAGGCTCTCGGGCTGCCAGCCGTAGTAGTCGTAG